TTGAGTATATATTTTTGTTTTACTACTATTAAATTGATTATGCATTAGTAACATATTTTTATTTCAGTTTATTATTTAAAATAGTTATGAAATTTTAAAGTAACTAAACTATATAAAAAAATTTAAAGATAAATGAAATGTGAATCTTCAAAATTAATCGATATTTAAGTTAATATAAAAAAAAAGTAGTGTTATGTTAAAAAAATTTCAAATTAATAAAATAAAATACTTTCAAATCATATGAGTATTTAACTAAAGCTTTAGGTCTTTGGTCTAGCTCTTCTTTGTTTGCTTACTTCGCTTAGTCTTAGGCCTTAGTAGGATAATTCTTGGGCTTGGACTTTTGTTCTTCCACAATGTATGCCTCTTCCTCATCATGCTCATGTTGTTGTGTATCTTCCTCATGGTTCAACTTATCATTAGTAGTAATCACATCTTATTTGTTATTCTCTTCATCTCCTTGACCCCTTCCTCATCCTCTCTGTCATCACCATTCAAGTGTAAGTTTAAACATATTTTGAGAGTACACACAGCGTTACATTTTTATTTAATTAATTTTTAATTAGAATAGATTGCCATAACATCACATATATTTGATCATATTATAGATTGTAAATTTTCATTAAAACCTAAGCATGTAAAGCTATCCTGCTTTTATAAAGATGTATTGAAATAATTCAAGATTTACGGTGGTCGAGATTTTACTTAAAGAAAACTCTAGGGGGAAATCCTTCTTTTGTTAATTTTTCTTCGTCCAAACTTTTGATTTGAAATAGATATTTTAAAAGATTTTCTTCTCTTCTTTCTAACTTTTTGTCAAAACTCTAACTTAAACAAAATAACAACTTTCTCAGCTAAATAGACCTTTATGTTTTCATGCTAGTCGGTTTGAAAATGATGGTTCCAACATCTTTATTTAAAGCTATTGGAGTATTACCTCTTACGATCTAGCTAATAATATTACTTCATTCAAGAAAAATATTATTATATTGAGCAAAACTTTGACATAACAAAGTTGAAAGGAGAAAATGGCAGCTATTGGTGAACATAAATAAAACTCAAAAGAGCTTATAAAATAGACATAGGGACCTTGAGTTTCTCCAACATCTTGAAGTTGCTTTTATGAATTAATTCAATGAGATAGTAAAGTAAGAACAAGTCTTTTAGCATGGAAGATGCTTAAGCAATAATAAGTCTTTTAGCATCAAAGATCTTGCACTAGTTGGATCAAATATGTTAACAAGAATACAAAGTCCAATTACATGGTCACTAAAATAAATATTAACCAAGAATAAGATTGAAATAAAAAATATTATAAATATAGATTTCAAGGGGGTATTATCCATTTATATCTAATTTATAACCCAATTAAATGGTTCATGACACTGCCAATATCGTTCATTTTATCTATGTCATTGCCCCAAAAAAATAAAATAAAAAAATATAAATCAATCTATCTCTTATGTTAGAAAAATTATTTTTAATTCCGTTAGAACCTTTAGTATTTCTCTCCTTTCAGATATATATATATATAATAGATATAGGAATAAGTATTAAGTAACTTTTTTTTTTACACAATCCAGCCCATGCCCATGCCCACCGTTCATTACTCACTGAACCAGCCATTGCCCACTTTATTCCTAATAAACTATAAATCAATGACCTTAACTGATGTACCAATAGGATCACAAATAATTTTATTTGATAGAGAGCTTGCTTATCAAGATGAGAAAGCTGAGAATATGACATGTGACATTGTATTTATTAATGCTATAAAATTTAATGATTTGTTTATTATTTTCTATAAAGAAATTGAACAATTGTTAAAGAAAGTTAATTGAATATTACTAAGATTACTTTTCATAATTGTCACTTTTTAAAAGAGTTTTAACTCTATTTATATTTTTTTATATATAAAATCGATAAGTCTAATTATATTTATCAGTTTAAATCTATCGATTTATGCAATTTGATTTATATAATTATCTCTAAAATTATTGTTAGTAGAATTAAAATTATGCTCTCTAACCTCATGAACCCTTTTTCAATTAACTTTCTTTAAATAGAAGGACGCGTAACTACTATTTTAGTACAAGAGATTATTCGTTTTGTTTATAAGATTAGATGTAAGAGTAAAAGTAGTCTCATAACTATTAAAATCGTTATAAAAAAAGCTTACAAATGGAGTACCTTTAGTTTTTTTAAAGCAAGATCTCGAATCTCCAGTCTTTCTAAATCATAAATGAAAAACTAATATCAATTACCATAAATTTTTTTTATACATACAAATACACAATCTAAAGCGAACATTGACATTCGACAGAGTACTAACCATAAAGAATAATTTTATTCTTTAACGTACTAATAGTTAGTAGATTTTTCTACCGTTTCTTTTACAAAGCTCTCCAACATGCTACCAGAGGCCGCCCGAGCATGAAGGGAAGTAGGGAGAGGCTGATAAACATGGAAGAAATAGAAGCGGCAAAGAGGAGATGCACGGACCTCATCAATTCCATAAACAGATTGCCTGAATCCACCAACCTCACCCACTCATGTCGACGCACTCTCCTCAAATTGGTTCACTCCGATCTCACATTCCTCTGTTCTCTTCCCGCTCTCCACGCATCTCTCAGGTTCCCTTCTTCTCCTCTCTCATTATTACTCATCTTCGTCTTCTCACGTTTATTCACCTGTTTCCTCTTCTTCTTCGTCTTCAATTTTCAGTCTGAACGTTGGTCACTTGGAAGCCGTTGTTCGAATTCTTCACCATCCATCCGTCTGTGGAGTTTCACGTGTCTGCAAGCCACTTCCTATTCCAGACTCTTCTTTCAAATCTGCCCATGTCGATATAATCTGCACTCTCTACAAGAGACCAGTGTGGATAATTGTATCAGATAGGAATCCAAAGTATTTATCCTGGCACGACCTTCGCGGAAACAAGGGTTTGAAATTTAGATTGCTAAACCTCCTCGATGCGGCCCGCTCTTCCCCTACATTAAGACCTTCTTCTCTTATCCTTTTCTTCGCAAATGGACTTCCGAGCTATTTTCGTGAAAAGCTCGGAGTTGAATTCGGCGCCTCTGAATTTGATTTTGACTCCTCGGAGGATGCCGAAGGAGAGTGGGTTCACGTATTCTCATGGTCTTATTGGTATGAAAACGCGTTTGCCTTCGAAATTCCGGTAAAGGTTGATTCGGATGACAACGGTGTTGATTCCTCTTTTGGCTCGCTTCCTGCTGCTGCTGGCTCTGAGCTTCAGGAAGAGAACGCGAAACTAAAAATTGACGAAAGCTCTAAGCCATGGGATTTGCTCGGGGATGGCCATCCTTTAAATTTTGACACTACGGCTTTGATTGCTCTTGTGTCAGGTATCACTAATGGTGGCGCCCAGCAACTTCTAGGTAGGCCAGAGAATGAACTGAAGCAGCGATTTAAGGGAAACTTTGAATTTGTGATTGCTCTGGTAATTTTCCTTTGGGCTTTCTGCTTTGTTTCATGTTATTGCATTTCTTCCAAGGCTGTGTTGCAGTGCACCAATTTAATGCTAATTCTGCTTTGATGGAAAGATGGCATTTTTTCCTCCTTGGTTTATCTTCTTGTTGATGATATCTTAGTTATTATAATCAGCTGCTTTATTTTTTTTATTGTGACTGCTTCTGTTCTTTCTCATTATATCTATGGTCTAGTGAGACTATTATATTTTAGCTTTGAGGTTCAGGTGGAGTGAATTTTGCCTTTTAAATCTTCTCAGGTAATGTCTGAACGTCAAAGTCCATTGCATTTAGAACTGGGTGGAATCCTCTCTGGGAGGAAAGGAATAATATGTGAAAGTGTCCTTTCCGAGTTCAAGGAGTTAATCCAGATGTGTGGTGGGCCAAATGAGAAGCATAGAGCTGATCAGTTACTGAAGCGCCTTCTGTAAGTTTGTAGACGATTGTCTCATGTTTTCAATTTTTTTCCTTTAAATTATGTCTCTTGTCTTATGTATTCACAGGAGTTTAAATGTAAAATGTAAGTTAGATATATTTAGAAGTCTTTGAAGTAGGTATGACATAGACATCATTTAGAGGTTACTGAAGAAACCATATAATCTAACCCCATGGTTTCATGACAGGGTGAAGGAAGGAAATTTGTTTTTGAATTTTTAGGAATTTGCAATTCTGTTATGGGACAGTTGAAGAGCTTGAAAAATTGAAAGTATGCTGCACATAGACTTTGGAAGTATGGTAAACAAGACATAAACATTAGAGAGGGAAAAGATACAGTGTCAACATTGGCTCATAATCATCCATGTATCTGCAAAAGGAGTGCTGTCAATACTAAAACATAAAACCAAAAGTAAAGATGTTTTATAAAGTATATTGGATATTTTCCCTTGATCCATACAATTATGACTCTCTAATTAGGAAAGGGAGGCTGTGTTTTGCATGTAACAGCTGGCTGGACCACATTTCTACCACTAATGATCTAAAAGCATTAGAGTTGATGAGATTAGAATAAAATTTGTCTTGATGGGGAATTAGACAATAATTCTCCTGCCTCGGGATATAAAAACCTGAAGCTGACAAACATTCAACTTGAACTTTATGTAACTCTAATCTAGTAATTATTGATTGGCAGAAGAAATACATACCCTATCAAATGGATTTTCTAAGAGTCCCTCAAAATAAAAATGCTTTATATATATATAGTTCACTAAGCATATTTTCTTTTGGCCCTGTTGTTTCACAAGTGAAGCAGAACTGTAAAACAAACCTACATAAAGCAAAAAGAAACAGAAAGTCTGAAGAATTGTTTATTGTAATTATAAGTTGATTGTGAGTAGGTAAGGATTTTTGAGGTTCTAACGGGGGCAAATGGTGAATTATAGCAAGAACTTTATACTTCCATTAACTGGTCTAATTTTAACTAGCACGTTTAGATGTGATGATGGCTTTGTCTCTATTTTATAAGGCTGTTATCCTACTGGTTTATGTTGTAAATTTGTTAAGAGAATTTTTAGGCATGTTAGGAGAATTTGTAAGCTCTGATCATTTCGTATATATAGGTAGTGGGGAAGGCATAATGGCAAAAATGCTAAAAATCCATCAGGACAGGGAGATTGGACAATGAAAAAATTGTTCCAAGTTATAAGAAGATAAAAGAAGAATTACTTATCATGTTCAAGTAAAAAAGGCAGAGAATATCCTCTAATGTTGAAAAAACTGTATTTATTATTATTGACGAAGGTATAATTAAGAAAAGATTCATATGATTCAGATCATATTATATGTTGGAATCTCAAAATTAGCATTGATGATTATCTGGAGATAATCAATCAAGAATCAGTGTAATGAAAAACATAATCTGGAGATGATCAAGTAATTAGAGAACCTATGTGGAAGCATTCTAAACGATCCACTAGTTTGGCATGTTTCTGTTTAGAGGTTATATGGACTGAAATTAAGCTGATTAAGTGCTTACTTGTGTGTTAGGCTTTTCTTATCATGTCGCTTATCAGCACAAGCCTTAATTCATAACTGATACAGCACTGATTTATGATTGAAAACTGGAGCAGGGTTGTTCCTGATAATCCTTCAGAACGCATGATGGCCCTTCCAACGACCAGAAAGCTGGCATTGAAGAAGAAGGTTGTATTTGGCACGGGTGATCTATGGCATGCTCCAACTTTGACAGCAAATATGTCATTTGTCAGAGCAGTTTCACAGACTGGGATGTCTTTGCATACGATTGAGCATAGACCGCGTGCTCTGACTGGGGATTAACAATATCTCATTCTGTGAGGACTTAGTTACCCAATTGAGAGAGTGAGTGCAGCTAACAGAGTCTATGATATTGTTTATTCATCATAGCGATATTTACTGGCTTATTATGCATTTATACATCTAGAAGAGCATTGATCATTCGTGTAATGCTAGCAGTGTTTCTTTAACACATCTTAGGTACTGTAGAAACCTTTCAAACTTGAGGAGCTTATCCTAGCCACAAAATAATTGCATATTAAAAAAGCTGTATATCTCAATGTCATTTTTATGATTAAAGTATTAGTTAATTTTTAGCAAATTACTTTTTCTTTTTGAAGGAATGCATTAGTCCAGCCTTGAGAACATTGGAGTTAGATTGGCATTACATCAGTTATGGATTAGTAATGGAGATTAAGGGAATTAGTGGAGAATATAACATAGAAGACTAGACTATTGGTTCTGCATTTAAGTTGGAAGAAACTAGCAGCCAGCAAAATTTTTTAAAGACAAATGATCAAATTAGTTCTTGAAGTTTAGTATTTTTTTATAATTTATTCACTGATGGGGACATTTTTGTCCTTTCACTATCTCATTTTCCCTCTGGTTTTACTGGTAAGTTTAACACTTTATTTCTCATTCCCGTAATTTTTTTTTTGTCAGGTAGATTTGATGTGTAGAATATCAATTATTATTTTAGTTATGGCAAACTTAGGTAATATCAGTGAAATTTGTCCAAAAGTAAGTCTTTTGGAATGAAGTGATTGAATAAATTCGACCATTTCCCCATGTAGCCACTAGAAAGCAATTGCTTCTTGATTTGAGACAAGCAAACTCTTCCCTGCATCATTCTATATATATATTTATGTAAATATATATATATATAGAGAGAGAGCGAGTAAAAGATATTAAAAGATAATGGCAGATAATAATTTTTTTATTCTCTTATTAACTGGAACAAAACAAAATCTAACCTGTTGGGAATAGAATTATCAATTCATGAAATATAAAACATCTAATGTAGCCTAACACAAAATGTCCATAATGAAAAATCATACACTGTTTATGTTTCACATACACTTACAAAATGATCACCCTCCCAAAACAATAATCGTTAAGAAAAAGACTCATAAAATTTCCAACATCACTTCTTTTTCTTTACTCAACAAACCCATAAGCTAATTTGGTAAATGAATAACACAACGCAAACATTTCCCTTCTTGCATAAGATTGAAAGCTTTATTGATATCTTCAAATGGCATATTATGGGTGATTAACTCATCAATCTGGATTTCCTGCAAACAAATATCTAGTTAACATATATTTTCATGGATAAGAATAAATCAATTATCAAACTCATCAGAAATCAATCAACAATTGAATGCCATAACAGTTTTATTGCCATTGATACTTGAGAAACAATAGGTTTCCATGTAGAAGCTAAAAGAATCATCCACATTGAAGTGAATTCAGGCATCTCTGCTGAATGGATTCGAACATAACTTACAATTTATGTTGCATAATGATAATATCTTTCCCTGTTATACTCCCTCCACAAATGCACTGGTTATCAGTACTTCAGATAACTACAGCAATAACTGATTCTTCTTTTCCAATCTATGTTAACACGAAAACAGAAAAGAAAAGACAAGGAAGAAAATATTTGAAGTAAAATATCACAACTCCATGGAAAAAAGTCTTACCTTTATTTCTCCCTCTCCCTCCAAGACTCTTCATTTTCTGCCTATAGATTTTTGCTAAAACAGTAGCACCGGTTACCATGTTTGGGGCTGTATAATTGTGAGAGCGTGATCTACATCATGTATCTATTTCAGAATTAACAATTCACTCATGTTCCTTTTATTCCATGCCATCTTACTACATAATTGTGCACCATCACTAAGATCTTTATGTCATGGGCTATTTTTTGGTTTAACTTTCTCTGCTCCATATTGCTTTTGTCAACTAGAGTACAACAGTGTGAATTGTGCCCTCTATAATTAACAAGTCAGTTATGCTCCATCTTTGGAACAATTCACCACTTATGTTCCATCTACTCTGCCTTATTTACAACTAGCTGCTTGGCACTTGCTTTGAGGAAATTGTATGTTTGAGTAACACCTCTAACAAAAATAACTATGTTGTCTGGTGATTTTCAAGGGAAAATTTCCCACCTCACTAGCCTATTGTATGTTTGGAAGGACAAAAACTATGCTTCGGGTATTCTAGAAGGTAAATGAACACAGAGATGCAATGCACACCAGGAAAAAAAGGATTTTTTTTGAGGAAACACTTCATAAAAAGATTTAACCATTAATCAAGAACAAAAATCATCAAGAAGCTTGACCTTTGTTATTACCTTCTTCATATACATATCAACCAATGAGGAGAGATCAGATTTAGGTTTCCATCCTCCAAATAGAGACCCTTTCAAAGTTTTTCCAGTAAGAAATAGTCCATAGTGAGCTGCAATTTCAGGCTTCACTTTTGGCACACCGAGAGTGACAGTCATCCCACATCCCTAACGATTATAAGAGTGGATCTTGAGTTGAATGAATAGATCATCCTAAAATGAGGAAAACATTGACAAATTATATAAAGGACTTACGTCAGAGCATGACTGTAGTGCAGTAGTTACCATTCCAGTATCACCTATACATTCAAATGAGTAATCTGCCCCTCCATTAGTGATTCTTTTAATCACCTAATCTCAAAAACCAAATCCAGATTAGTCAACCACCATTTAATGTATCACATATTCCCTACAAAAGAACTGTTTACATCTTCTCTCTGTGCAAGCTTTACACTGTTTAGGTGATCAAAAGACTTCTGATTATGTGATGCAATTAAACCTTAAAGTGTAATGCTTAGAACTTTTTATATATGATGTATAAGAAACTCTTAAGTGCAATTTCTAATATTTTATTCCTAAATCCCTAAGTAGGCAAATTAGCTCTTCCTACATTACAATCCACCAAATAATGCAGTACATATGTTCCAAAAGTTAACACTTTAAACAGAGAAAGATTGCTAGAATGACAATTCTTAGTTAATTGCAGCAGTCTAGGTAGGCAGCTATTTTGAGTAGTCTCATAAATAAATATGTACTCTGTAAATTAGATATGTAGGCAGTTTCTAATTTTTTTAATTGAATGCATACCTCTTGAATGGGTTCATTACAGTCAGTTGGATTGATAAATTCCGTTATACCAAAAGCCTTTGCTGCATAAATAGGGAAACAGCATTCATACTGGGATGTTCACCAAGATTCAGAAAGCCAATGAAGAATGTGATATTCAAGCTCTCACAATACCTTTTTGACACTTTTCTGGATTGATGTCAACACCAATTATTTTAGATGCTTCTCTGAGTTTGGCACCTTGTGCAACCTAGTCACACAAGATATTATCATTTAGAATAATAACAAGATCCCCAACTTTTAGTAGTTCGGGAAAAAGGTACAAGCGATAGTTGTGCATCTATGTTAGAACTTACTGAAAGGCCTACAGTTCCAAGTCCAAAGATCACTACATTAGATCCTTTAGATATATCTGCAACATTCCAAGCTGCACCAAGACCTGAAATTTACATATTAGTTGTGAACACGCTTGCTGTAGAAAAGGACTGTGTTGTTGAATCCATATTTTGTCCTTGAATACCTCTTTAGAGGTGTCATGTAGTAGGTAGCTCGGTATCACACAAGAAGAGAAAAAGCAAAAGGGTTTAGATACAGATATTTTTTATTTACATGAAAGCTCAATTTGTCCTTCTCTCCCTCACCAACCAAAGAGCACTAGAAAGACGCACTATATCTTGAGTCTCAGTTCTATCCTTTGTTACTGCTAAAGTATAGATAATAGATTGGAATCTTTCATATCCAGTTCAGTTAATTCGAATAAAAGGTCACAATAAGTTATTTCACGACTGCTAGGCTGAGAAAATTTTACCCCATGCTGCGCCTCAATCAGCAGTTCCCCAAGAATAAATTGAACTATCCAGAAGAACTCTATCATGCATTTGTTTATGTTCTGAATGAATAACAAGAAATAAATGCTTCAGCAAGACTAGATTTTAATATAACATTTAAAAATGTTAACTACCTGCAGCTGCTCCACAACTCAGTAAGCATATCTTCTCCAAAGGTGCAACTGAACTGACTTTGACTGCACATCCCGAATGCACCACTGTATATTCGCTGAAACTTGAAACTGCACAATAATGGTAAACAGGTTTCCCTCTAATTGAGAAGCGGGTCTTCTGATCGCTATGCATTACTCCTCTCCTTTCCAATCCCAGAACTTGGCAAATGTTGCTTTTACCTGACATACACTGTCTGCATGTCTTGCATTCTCCAGTGAATACCGTGAGCACATGGTCCCCCTCTTTAAATTCATCCACTCCCTCTCCAATACTCTCTACTATCCTGAAAAATTGAAATAAAAGATTTAAGGTGCGTTTCATCTATCTATTCTGTAAGAAGCATTCGACTATTCCATAATTCTTTATTCTGAATCCACATTGTCAAAATACTGCAAGTTGTAATAACAAAAAGCCTCGTCGTTTACAAATCTACTGGGAATATGTGGTTGTCCTCTTGATAAATTCAAATGCATCATTCAATAGTCTGAAAATCCATTTAACCCACTATGATAAGTCAGTAATCAAGTCATAACTCAAGCTTGGAGTAACATCACACCAGGTGCTTGTATTTTGCTTACTTTAGTAACTATTCATGTTCCTTAACCAAATCCAAGGGAAAGTGAGATAGAACTGACCCTGATGCTTCGTGACCAAATATTCGCGGGAATATTGCCTGTACAGAAAGCATTCTATTAGCTAACCACAAAAATGGATAAATCATTAAATTACTAGGAAGAGGAAGACAAATGCGAGTAATAGAAGATCCTCATTTTGAACAAGAAAATGTTCTATGATAAATGGCAATCTCTCTCGCTTTCCCTCAAACTAAAGTGATGCAATTTGGCTTCATACAAACATTCGCAAATCAAATGAACTTCAGAATATCTTCTCATGAGATGCCCTAAGCTTTTTCTAACAGTAATCACATTGGCATCTCTGAAACACTCTGTAAACTACACAGGGCTCAGTACGTAACACTAATTATATTTAAAATTAGAAAAAGAATACAAAGCAGCAATTCAAATTGTATCCATTGTAAGATTGTATGTATAACTGGGGTGAGAACCTGAGACTCCCAAGCGGAGATGTCACTGCGACAGAGAGAAGTGCAAACGACTTTGATTCTGATTTCGCCGGGCAGCGGCGCACTGACCTCTACATCCTCCATAACCAATGGCTCCCCAGCCCCCCATGCCACCGCAGCTGTACATTGTTGAGGATCAAATATTGGAATCAAGTTTACCAGCAAATGAGATTAATAATAGTACCTTTGCAGGTTATGACATTGTTGGATTGTTTGGAAGGCGATGGCATTTTGCAGATGATTTTAGCTTTTCACCGTGCAATACTGAAGAAGAAGAAGAAGAAGAAAAGCAAGCATCTCGCCCTAGCTTCCTTCCTAAATAAGTCAACTGTCTCGCTGCTCGATCACTGCTGGTGGGTTAGGTGAGCAATGTTTTTGGGTGTTGAGTCGTTGACCACAGCCTTTACCTACCTGCTTTGGTCCAACCACAACCAATATCTGTTTTTATATATTTATTTAGACAAAATCTTTTTTGTAATTATTTTTATATAAAATGTAAGGATTATAATACCGAATACATGTCTAAAAATTTTCAAAACTTTTTTATTTTCTATTTTTTGTTTAAGATTTTATCCATCATTAAATAATGTATATTTATGCAACAATGTAACATGTTAAATTAGCGTACATATTTATTTTAAAGTTATTAATGTGACGTTCATATCAATAATATTTATCATTGTTTTTAAATTTTTATAATAAATTTAATTTAAAAAAATAAATAATTTTATAAAATAATTAAATAATGATGATAAAATAGGTTGTATGAATATTCCGAACATATCATTAAATATTTTAACATTTAGAGTAAATATATTATCTTATATATTCAATAAAAAAAATAACCAAATTCAATTTAATTTAAACAACACATAATAAAATAATGTAATCTACTTTCGGCACACATTTAAAAAATCTCTATAGTATTTAAATAAGAAATATTGAAAAAAAAAGTTCATACACTCTCCTCTAACTTTGGTACATCTCCAAAATTTTGATTTTAAGAATTTATGAGTTCTTATTTTTAATATTTTTTCACCAAAATTTTTTAATTAAAAATTTATAATTTTTATTTTTAATATTTTTTTTACCGACTGTTTTATTATTAGGTGATTAATATCTTATATAAGAAGACGTTAAAAATTTTGAAAAGTTGTGTTTTTTTTTTCTTGAGTTACCTATTTCAACAAAATATTAATGAATATTTTCAAGATTATAAAAAATTATTTATTTTTTTTTTAAATTTATTTGGTTTAGATTCAGCCTTCAAAATTTTAATAAAAAGAAATCTCTTGTGAATAAGAAATTTTTTTCTTTTCATAGAAACATTATAGTTTTTTTTCTAACAATGGTATGAGCAATTTAATTATACTTTTTCTGAATTATTTTTTCCCTTTTTTTTTCCATTAAAAGAAAACCCAATTTAAGTTAAAAAAACAATTAGCTGCTCCTACAATTCATCAAGCTGTGGTTAGAAAATAATTTGAGAATTCTATTTATTAATTTCATAATCTGGAGAAGAATTTTTAAAATCTGATAGTAATATTAATCTAAAAAAGATTAGTTAATATTAAAATAGGAATAACACCAATATTATTAATTGACATTAATTTTAATAATCACCAAATCAATTAAGTTATCAGCTAATTAGTTATCTCAATTATAAAAGATAACAATCTGATTATTTACTTAGTCAACAGATATGAATAATGAATGCTAATTCTCATTATACCATTGCAGATTTTGTAATCTAACTTTTTAGGATCTTTTCTAATGCTTAATTCTTTTCTTTATTGGCTATATATACATACACATTTCTTCGGTTTCATTACCATTATCCACCTATCGACTCTTCCAATTTCCTTCTGCTACAGTTGGTTTTTGCTTCGCTTTTATTGAACCCGGTACGCGATCCTTTCATATGGCAAACAATCATCCTCAGCATGAGTATCTTGCTGTCATTAGGCAATCATTTTTTGAGGAGGTATTTTTTTTCCTTTCTTTCCAATCTCCTAGATTTATGTAGATTTCATTATAAAACCTCCAACTAATGTCCATCATCTTTTTTTTTTTTTTCTCTCGAAAAGTTGATATTAACAATTTAAGATATCCAATTTAATTCTTACTGACATCATGGAGGAAAAAATTTATAGCTTTCAAAATGCATTCATCAACTTTGAGTAGCTATTTACACCATGCGTGCATATATAGTTTTCCCTTTTTATCCATTTACAGGTTGTGGACAATCACTGTGTTTGTATATCTAAAGATGTTGATAATTATATATATATAATTATCGGTATGTTGCAGGGAATATTGGACAGGAACTTTGTCAATCTGGAGAAGTTGACGGATCATCAGACTCCAAACTTCGTGATGGACACTTTCGACCTCTATTTCCTGGAAACTCCTCCCATATTGCAAAAAATTGCGCATGCAATGTATATATATTATATACATTACTCAAACTGAATATTTCTTTCTATAAACTCAAATAATAGTTCTATATCTTACATATATAAATTACATTATTCAAACAGTCAAACTTCGGAATACGATTACCATGATGTGGATAAGTGCATTGATCGCCTTATAAGCAGCACGTCCAGGTACTATCTGAATAAAAACTGATTACTTCAATTAATTATTTAATTTTTGTTTCCATAATTTATATATACTTACAAATCTTAATATCATCTAACTTGATTAATTGTATATATAAACGAGTATTATTGTTTTCGATGTAGCGTTGGTGCTAGTGGAATTCTGAGAGAAGTGAACAAGTTGAAAATTTTTTGGAAGGACCAGGATCTGGGAGGGTAAATTTACTACACATAAATAATTTTTGATATAATGCAGTATTAAATTTAATTTTTAAAATCAATTAAGCTGGAGATAAGTATTATTATTCATTAATTTATAATTAGGGTTGAAATAATGTATTCATAATTTATTAACAGTGCAAGAGAAGTGCTCCCATTGATGCTAAGGGAGTATGATGAGTTAAATGTCAGACTTGAGGTTTACTTTGAGGTGGGATATGTAATTTCATCTGAGTTAAATATTTTTAATTAATTTAATCCCAATATTTTATGCTTAATTATCAAGTTAATTAAATTAAAACTAATTAATTAATTGTGTAGCTGGTGAGGGAATCAGAGCCAATGCCAGAGAGCCCAGGGGAGGATGAAACCAACTCATACGGCCCACCACCTGCCTCGCCTGACTCATCAGCCAACTGAAGTTCCAATAGAATCCACCAGCACCTCTTTTAATTTTTGTTTTTAAGTTTATATTTAGGAATAAATTCCATGAGAATACAATTAGGGTTATTATTTATCCTTCTTTTGACTTTGATTTCTGGGTGCTGTAATATTAATTTTCTTTTAATTATAAAACTCTCTTGGTAGCTAATATTATGCTCGTCATCTTTTTAATGGAGGTCTTATGGAAATTTCATTCTCTTAAAAATTCTTGTTTCTCTTCTCTTTGATTTATTTTTTATGTTTTATTTCATTATTTTTTTGTACTAAACTTGGATGAGAAGTCATGATCTAAAATCTAAGATGATATACGTGTGTGTATATGAGAAAAAAAAATTGGTCAATTTGAATTTTTCAGAGTAACTAATTAAAATTTTTGCCAAATAAGATCCGGACTAACCAACTTCAAACTGTGTTATTAATATTTAACTAATTAAATCAAATGACATATCGAACTTTGACACAAAGTTAAACAAATTAAACAAAGTATGGTATGTGTAATCAATATTGGTATTTTTATCCACTTTTATGATAATATGATTTTGAAACTATACTATTTTGTGTATGTCCTTCTTAAATTATTGATTATATTATTATTGGTGTATAAATATTACATAATTCTTAAAACATATAAATTTCAACTAAATAATAATATGAACAACTTCAAATATTTTATTTAACGATAAGTGAACATATTTGTTGGAAGAAAAAATTATTTGTCTAAAAAAAATAATAACATATGTCTTGATAAAGTCAGCTTAACAACTCCTATTGCAACAGTAACATCTAATAACTTTTAGATTACATTAAAATTATGTTACCAATAGCTCATGTTATATCCTGACAATAGTATCATAGGAAGAACCTAACTCGTTCTAAGAGGCAAAAAAGAGTGACAATTGGTTGAAGATAATGTAATGTGAGTTAAAAGGTATTAGAAGATAATAGAACTTGGAGGATTATGGACCTCATACGAAAAAAGACTATTGGATGCAAGTGAGCTTACAATGTGATGCTCCTGCTCTCTATTGAAGGGATTACAGTCGTCAAATACCAAATATACAACGAAAATATAATTAATAAATATTTATAGATTCAAAATATACATCTTCTATCTCTTGATCAAATTGTGCCACAATTTACAACATATGAGGTTTGTATAATAGAGTCAAAACAAAATAGATATCTGTTTGGTTATAAAATATAATTTTCATCACGGGTACTCATACAGTTTCTTCTTGATCCGGTTTAGGGATGAGATCATCTTGATCCACAACCAGATCCTCTTGATCTCAAAAGATGATAATTTAATGGGTGAGCAATTTTAACGTGCTTAGTAAGTATAAAAAATAGGTTATACCCTAGGCATATGACATACAGTCAAACAATCAATCAAGAATGTAAAAGTTTTCTTTTTCTTTTTATTTGAAAATTATGAAATGTAAGGGTAATCAATTTCCTATCTCATCTCTCATTGTCCCCCTAACTTCCATCTATCTCTCAAGATCCCTTTACGTTTAGTTACTATCCCTCTAAATTCCCCTATACTCATTTTTTCCTGAAAATTGCCCTAGATTCATTTTATCCCGCAGTTTTTTCTCAAGCCACCTTTTATCATTCAGAATCACTCCCATAATTTTTCACAAATTCTGGTCAAATCAAGACATCCATAACCTCTAAGTGGATATCCCCCATTCTCGATTTACCCGAATACAATAATCATATTGAAGTTATTTAAGTTTTAGAGGTTTTCATCCACCCAAAGACAGAGTTCACCACACTACTAAATTTTAGCCATACCAATTTTAAGTTGGTTATCTCTAAATTTTTATTTCTTTCAATCTTTGTATTGTTTTCTTTTCTTCTTATTCTAGTTAAGATTGACATTTTATTTTGTTTTATTTCACAATTAGAGTTTCACTTATCATTCTTCCCTCCGCTTTTCTAACTAATTCCCTCTTAATTTACTTTAAAAATCTTATTTAATTATTTCAATTTATTTTTTTGTTAATATTTATTTACTTTATGTAATTTTTTTGTGACTTGTTAATATATTATATATATATATATGTTTGCTAGTATTTATTATTATTATTATTGTTATTTTATTTTATTAGTATTACTTATATTATTATTAAATTTATTATTTGATTTTT